GTTTCTTTTTCTTGGCAGCGTGTAAGTTTTGTTTCTGAGGCCCAGAACCAAAATGGAGTTACTTAGGTCTAGGGATCTAACAAAACAAATTACAGACAATAAACATATGAAAAAGGGCTCAATGTCTTTGTAGCCACCAAGAAATGCAAATCACAACTACATTGAGATTCCATCTCATCCAATTGGAGTAACTAATATCAATCAATCAACAAATGGTGGCAAGGGCATGGACAAAAAGGAACACTCATACACTGTTGCTGGAACTATAAATTATTATAGTCACAAATTATTCCTCCACACATGGAATCCATGTGGAGGGTCTGCAAAGAAAAATACAAAAAAAAAAAAAAACATAACAGGTACATGATCCAGCTATGCCACTTCTTGATATATATACAAATGAAATGCAGTCAGCAAACAAAAGAAATACTTTCCTACCAGTGTTTATTGCAGCACTTACAATAGCTAAGATATGGATTCAATCCAGGTGCTAGTCAACAGATGAATGGATAAATTAAATATGGTATGCACACATACCAAATACTATTTAGCCATAAAAAAATAAAATCATTTCATTTGCAGGAAAATGGATGGAGGACATTGTGTTAAGTGAAACATGCCAAATATAAAAAGACAAGCATTGCATGTTTGGTCTCATATGTGGAAACTAAATATTTTTAAAAAGATGATCTGCAAGAAGACAAGCCCAGCCCTAAAATTCTGTTTTCTATATGATCTAATTTGTTGTTGAGACTGCCAACTGAACATTTTGATTGTGTCTCATTTCCATGATCACTGTTTGGTTCCTTTTTAAAATCTCGATATCTCCTTATTGAAATGCTCTTTCATTTCCCGTATTTTCTCTCTAAGTTCATTTTCTAGATCTTTTTTTTAGTTCATTAATCATTTTGCCCATCAGCTTTTTTACTTCTCTGGGATTTCATCTCACCAGTATCAGAGTATTCAATTATTGGGGGGGATATAGAATTACTATCATGCAGTTATTTCACTACAGAAACAAAATTTTTCTTGTTGAGGTTTTTAAAATAGAAGTCTTTCTGGGGATTCAATCTTACAGTCTCCTAATTAAGAAGAAATCTGTGTAATATAGATATCTTGGGTCTCTTATGTGTATTGTTCATATCTCTTACACAAGCCAGTTGAAGTGAAAAGTCTGTATGAGAGCACCACTGCCTCCTTAACTTGCAGATTGTATCACATCCCCCCTACCCCCAAAAAAAGCCTCATTTGATATACTGGGGTAAAATCTGTAGTGTAGAAAGGGGAGTAGACAAAAACAAAACAGAATATATTAAAGTATGAAAATTTCACAGAAAAGTCCATTAATTTATACAATTAATGTGTTAATATAATAGGAAGAGGGGTGAAGTGATCACAAGTTAATAAAACAAAAGTCAGCTATGTTTTGCCTAAAATTCATTTGAAATAACATCATTAAGAAAGGGTGAAAGATAGAATAAAAGAGGATCAAAAATGGGAAATCAGAGGAATCCAAAATATCAGAAGGGCTCACCAAGACTAAATTAAAGCAGCAGTTCTGTAATAGAAAATTGACCCTGCAGAGCACAGAAGAGCAAAGGACACCTTTGTTTGAATCTAGTAGTCTGAACTCTGCTTAAGGACTACAGTGGATAAGGACTGATTAGGGTCAGACATAAAGTGGTCCTTTTTAGCCAGTTTTTTTTTTTTTTTTTTTTTTCTGCTGTGGCTAAAAAGTCCCAACCAGAACAACTGTAGAGGAGGAAAAGTTTATTTGAGCACTCATGATTTCAGAGGTCTTAGTTCATAAAAGGACAGCTCCATTCTTCTGGGCTCCAGAAGTGGCAGAACCTTATAGTAAGAGTTTCACAGGAAGCAGAGAGAGAGAGACTCCACTTTCCAGATACAAAATATATACCTTGTATTCCCCCTACTCCTCCCCTCCTCTCCCATCATTTCTCTCTATCCAATCTAATATGACACACTTTTTTTTTCTTTTTCTCATCACAGCATCATATATGTATTCTGTATAATGATGAGGTTCTCCTTCCATCTTCCATGAAGGGCAGCAGAATAGAATAGACATTATGATTGATGTATGTATATAGGTGACTCTATGACCAGTGTGATTCTGCAATCTGTACAATTAGAAAAATGAGAAATTATACCCCAATGATACAAATGTATGAATTGCCAAGGTCATTGTAATGTCATATGTAGATAATATAAAAAATTAAAAAATAATATATATACATATATATATACCTTGTAGACACATCCACAATGAATCACTTCCTGTAGCCACACCCCACCTCCCTATAGTTACCACTCAGTTAATCCCATTAGAAATTAATTCACTGATTTGGTTAAGGCTATGTATAACCCAACCGTTTTCCTCCAAATCTTGCACTGTCTCACACATGAGCTTTTGGGGGACACTTTATATCCATACCATAACAGTGGTGTTCTCCACACCAGCTCTGAAGGGGCTGAAGGACAAACTGGCATATGTTACAGATTTTACCCCAGCACATCAAATGAGGCTTTTTTTGGGTGAGGGGATGTGATATAATCTGCAAGCTAAGGAGGCAGTGGTGCTCTCAAAGGCTTCAAGAAAACAGTATCAGATTACTTATGGGGGGACCAATTTGGATCTCAGCTGATATCTCAACCCAGACCCTCAAAGCTAGGTCCTGGAATAACATATATCGAGTTCTGAAAGAAAATGGATGCCAACCAAGAATCCTGTATCCAGCAAACTTAAGCTTCAGATTTGAAGATGAAATAAAAATCTTCCATAATAAACAAAAAAGTTAAAACAATTTGCTACTAGAAAGTCTGCACTCCAGAACATTCTCAACCAAATATTCCATGAAGATGAAATGAAAAAAAGTAAAAACCAGAAAGGGAGGAACTATACTAAAGGAATCGTCAATTAAAGGAGAAACCAATTCAAATTAAAAACTAGAAATAAACCAAAATGACTGAGAATACAAATCATATCTGAATAATAACTTTGAACATTAATGGCCTGATTCATCAATCAAAAGATGCAGACTGGCAGACTGGATTAAAAGCCAAGACCCAACAAAATGCTGTCTCTAAGATATAGTCAAAGACATCCACAGATTGAAGGTGAAAGAATGGGAAAATATATCTCACTCACATGGATCACATTAAGAAGCAGGGTTTCTATCCTCATATCACATAAAGTAGACTTTAAACCAAAGTTAATCAGAAGGGACAAAGAAAAACATTTCATACTGCTTAAGGGAACTATACATCAACAAGGCATAACAATCATAACTATCAAGAAAACAAAAATGTACAAAGGTTTGTTTGATGTACATCAAACAAACCTTTTCAAAATCAAGAATCCAAAAAACCGTAAAACAAAAATACTGGGTAACTTTAACCTGTATCTGTCATCACTGGATATAGCCTCCAAACAAAAACTAAAAAAAAGAAGCTATACAAGTGAAAAAATACAATTAATAATTTATACTTAATGGACATGTATAGAATGTTTCATCCATCAATGACTGAATATACTTTCTTCTCAGCAGCACATGAATCTTTCTCTAATATATTACAATTGTATGCCAATGTATGTTATATAAGCTATCATATATGTTGGCATACAATTGTAATATTACCTTAATACATTTTCAGCATCTGCAAGATTATTTTGATAGATCCCTTTCCATTGATACTAATTTCTGGTTTTTTTTAATCTTTTTTGTTTTTTGAGAGAGAGAGAGAGAGAGAGAATTTTAATATTTATTTTTTAGTTTTCGGTGGACACAACATCTTTGTTTGTATGCGGTGCTGAGGATCGAACCCGGGCTGCACAGCATGCCAAGCGAGTGCGCTACCGCTTGAGCCAAATCCCCAGCCCCTGTTTTTGTTTTTTTGATTAGACCTTTTTGATTTTTATCAAATTTTAGCTGTATTATTTCTTTTCTATTTCATATATTTCTTCTCCTTTATTTTTCCTTCCTACTAAAAAATTTGAAAATAATTTTATTGATTAGAATTCTAGCTTCTTTCTGATATAAGTATTTTAAGTTATAAGTGTTCACCTAGTACTGTTTCTTCCCAGAGATCCTGATATTTTAAGCTTTTACTATCATTTAGTTCAAAACACTTTTCATTCACTTTCCTTCCTTGGCCTCTGAGTAATTATAAGTGTGCCATTTAATTTTGAAATAGTTGACATGTGGGGGTGGGGTTCTATATATCTTAAGATGATTGATATCTAATGTAATAAATCATGCAGGAAACACAGTCTGCATGATTTCAAATTTAAAAAAAAGTAATGGAAATCCTTTTTATATTGATTGTATTTGTTACAGACATGTCAACACTGATCAAATTGCATACTTCAAATATGTGCATTTTATTGTACTTCAATTTTACATCAATAAAGCTATGGGGGAAAAAGAAATTACATAAACACATGGACATTAAACAATCCACTTCTAAACAATGAATGGATCATAAAGGAAATAATGAGAATAGAGGAAAATGACATCAGAATCTCTAGGACATTATGAAGATGGTTCTAAGGAGAGTTTATAGCTATTAAGTTTCTATATTAAAAAATCACCAAAAAATGCATCACAAGGTCCTAGAAAATTATGAATAAACCAATTCCAAAATCAGTAGAAATAACTAAGAGCCAAATTAATAAGAGAACTTCAAAGAAAAGAATAAGCCTTAGCTGAACAAAACAAAGACCCAAGTTAATAAAATTAGAGGTTAGAAAGGAGATATACCACAAACATTTCTAAAATCCAGAAGATTTTTACAGACTACTCTGAAAATTTATATTACAGCAAATTGGAAAGTCTAGAATAAATGAGCAAATTATTAGACATATATGTGAACTACCAAAATTGAACCAAGAGGATATAGAAAATCTAAACATGATAAGAAGCAATGAGAGCTGGGATTGTGGCTCAGTGGTAGAGCGCTCACCTAGCACAGGCGGGAACGGAGTTCGATCCTCAGCACCAGCATTGTGCTGTGTCCATCTATACCTAAAAAAATAAATATTAAAAAAAAAGAAGCAATGAGATTGAAGAAGTAACAAAAAGCCCAATACAAAGAAAAGCCCAGGATCAGACAAATTTCCAGCTGAATTCTGTCAGACCTTCAAAGAACTAATAAGAACGCTCCTCAAATTGTTCCATAAAATAGAAAGTGGGGGTAGGAAGGTACTCCCAAATCCATTCTATAAAGACAGTATTACTCTAATACCAAAATCAGAGACATAATTCATTACACAAATAGAAGGAAAATGTTCATCTCATTAGATGCAGAAGAAGCCTTTCATGTTAAAAACCCTATATAAATTAGGGACAGAGCTCCAATAGAAGAGTAGGGACTCCAATAGAAGAGGTAGGGAATATGAGGAAGGAGGAGGGAAGAGAAAGGGGAAGTTATGGGAAAATGAAACAGACCAATTAGACTACATTCATGTACAAATATATTATAATGAATACCACTATTATGTATAATTAGGGTGTGGTAGCTTACACCTGTAACCCTAGCAGGTTGGGAGGCTGAGTGAGGAGGATAAGGAGGATCCCAAGTTCAAGGACAGTCTCAGACACTTAGTAAGGCCCTAAGCAACTTAGTGAGATTGTGCTCAAAACAAAAAATAAAAAGGGCTGGAGATGTAACACAGTGGTAAAGCACCCCTGGGTTCAATCCCCAGAACCAAATAAATAAATAAATAGAGATAGAGAGAATTACCTCAACATCATTAAGGTTACACACAACAAACTCAAAGCCAACATTATACTTCATGGGGGAAAAAAAAAAAACTGAAAAAATTTTCCTCTAAAATCAGGATCAAGGATGTCAACTRTTGACACTTCTATTGAATATAATACTTGAAATTTTAGTCAGTGCAATTAGGCACAACAGGGAAATAAGAAATATAAAAAGGAAAGAAAAAAGTTTAGCTATTACTGTTCACCCATAAAACTCCACCAGAAAACTTGTAGAGTTGGTAAGTATGTACAACAGAGTAACAGGACACAAAATTAACATACAAAAATTGTAAGATATGAAAAATGACAAACCCCAAAATAATGTGGCCTGGGAAGAGGGAGTAAGGAAGAAGGCAACACATTGGTAACACTGATCCTTTCCCAATATATTTTTTTTCAGTTACAGGACAATCTCTTGGAAGGAAGCAAACATCATCCAGTGACAAAGACAATCCCTGGGAAGAAGATATCCATAARCCTGAAATGGCAGTCTCTGGGAGGAAGCAAAAACATTGATCCTTCCCCAAATAAATCCTTTCCCAGTAACTATACAACGAGACTCTATTGGGAAAGAGACAAGCACTGAACATTGACCCCAACCCTCCATTTTTCCCCAAGTAAAAATAATGCCCAGTAAAAACAAATCTCAAATTCTTACAAACCTGTTTCCTGAGTGCCCAAACTGACATGCTCTGTCAAAAATCAAGTCATCACTCAGTGTAACATATATAATAAGCACAGATTCCTCCTTTGGCCAGTGGCTCATTTTCCATGAGAAAAGTGGGTCCACCAGATGCACAACTCCACTGCTGAATAAAGGCTGTGCTGATCTGTGAAGTTTGCACCCGGCTTGGTCGTTTCGTGCTAATAAAAATCAATAGCTTCTATATAAACCAATAATGAATCCCCTGGAAAAGAAAACAGAAAAGCAATTGCATTCACAATTCCCTCAGAAAACTTATAGAGCTGGTAAATATGTACAGCAAAGTAACAGGATACAAAATTAATGTGCAAAATTTGTAAGAAATGGAAAATGACAAATCCTAAAATAGTGTGGGTTGGTTTGTCATTTTCCATATCATACAGATGATTTCATAAATGAATTCTAGTAAACTTTAAATTTTAATGAATTTAAAAGTATCCCAGACCATGTACAACAAAAATGGAGTCTCAATTTTCATGATATTAACTTGGCAAAACATTAATATTAAAACCTCATAAAATGCTGCAAAAATGTCACCAATGAATAAAAAATGGAAAAAATATAGATAAAAGATTTGCAAAGAAAATCCATCAAACATAAGAAAAATGCAGTCTAAACAAATAAATGAGATTCCTTCTCAGAGACAGTCTATTTACTCAACAGTCTATTTACTCAATATTTTAAAAAAACATCTCAAGAAACAAGATTAAAAAATATGGGAAGCATTTCTGATCAAAACTGGAAAAAGGAGTGGCAAATACAACAAACACTATTTCTAAAAATAAAAAATATACATTATCATTTAAAATGGTAAAACATTAGCAATATTTCAATTAAAATAAGAAAACAGGGACAAGCCAGCTATTTCTATTAGCATACAAAAGTAAAGAATCACAAATAAATAAATGATCATAAAACAACCATTTAACTGGACTTACCTAGATTAATTTAATTAGATCAAATAAGAAATGAATTAAATGTCATATACTTGAAAAGTGATGACTACTTTCTTATTAATAATGTGATTATTCAGTTAGAAAACCTGAGACTATTGTAAAAATCATCACCAAGATTTTAAGTTTGCCATGAGATATGGGATACCAATTTGGGAAAACTAATACCTATAATCATATTAGGAAAAATGCCTTAAAAATGGAAATGGAGAAAAAGCTTCATTAATAATAATGTTTAAAATGATGTAATAACTATAAGGAATATAACACAAATCAAGATATGAACAAATAAAAAAACACATCATGCTCTAAGATGGGAAGACTTAATGATACAAAAGTGACAATCCATACAACCACTTTGAAAAGCAGAATGGAGGTTCCTCAAAAGACTAGGAATGAAACTGACATAGGACCCAGCTATCCCACTCCTTGGTCTTTATCTAAAAGAATAAAATCAACATACTAAAGTGATTCAGTCACTTCAATGATTATAGCAACACAATTTACAATAGCCAAACTATGGAATCAGCCCAGATGCCCATTAATAGACAAACTGATTAAGAAAATGTGGGAGTCTTACTCTGCCAAAAAGTGGATGAAACTATAGCATTTGTGGGTAAATGGATAGAAATGGAGAAAATCATGCTAAGCTTATAAGATAAGCCAGATTCACAAAGTCAAGGGTCAAATGTCTTCTCTCATATGCAGAAACTAGAGTAAAATGAGAGGGGAAAAAAGTGGGGATGGAGGGATCCCATGAAAATGGAAGAAAGATCAGTGAAATAGAGAAAGGGAATAGAAAAGGAGGGAGGGGGCTGGGAAAAGAGAGGAAATACAGAATAAAATTGACCATATTATGATATGTACTATGATATGTACATATATGAATATACTATACTATAAATTGCACCTTTATGCATATCTACGAAGCACCAATATTTTAAAAAATACTGTAAATAAATTGAAGGAAGACCAGTACAATAGAGTACAGAAGGCAGGAGGGAAGGGAGGAGGAAGGAGGAAGTACTGGGGACTGAAGTGCAACAAATTGTATTTCATGTATGATTATGTCAAAATGAACCCCAATATTATGTATATCTATAATGCACTAATAAAAACAAAAAAGAATATTCACGTAGCTTTATGATAGTAAGGTACTAAAAAAAAACCCATGTCTATTAGTACAAAATAAAAAATACATTTAGTTAAATAAATCTTCTGTATGTCATCATCAAAAAAGAGTAATAGTAAAAAGAACTTGCTTTATTATCAAAAATAATTTATGAAAGAACTCATGTAATTTACATAAGAATTTAAAATAAGACAAAGTAGATACACAATTTTCATTAGGAAAAAGCTTTATAAAGAAATTACTTTTCCCAAATCAAACCAAAATTTTAAAATTATGTTGTTTTCTTCAGGTATCTATTCTGATCCAAAATGTACATAATCTCTTTACCTATTCCATTAATTTTTATCCTAAAATTGACTCTCTATATTGCTCTATGGAAACTGTCACTTCTAATTCCAAGAACTTCCAAATGAATAGAGATTCCATGCAAATAAAGCGCTCTGCAAAACGAATCCCCTTTTTCTTTCATAACCACATCCATATGCATATTCCACCCATCCCCAACCAAATTCTTTAAGTAGATTTCTGCTTTTAAAGACAGAGTTTATGTGCTTTTCTATAAGAGGCAACAGCAGGTGTGGCAGTAGCAGGCTGGCCTGACCTGAATACACAGAAACCAGGTGACTTGACGTGTTCAACCTTTTACAGAGCCCACTGTTTCTACAGAAATACAAAGTCCACCAAGAGACAAATCAGAGCTAAGTCCTGGAGCGCCTGGTGCACCGAAGCAGCTGCCCAAGTTGCTCACAGCAAGATCCAGGCCTGGCCTGGCCTCAAGTCCCACACAACCCACGTCGTACCTGGAGAGGCCCGCGAAGCCACCATTTGTTGAGCCCCGCCGAGGTCCCCTCCCCAGGAGAAGGGCAYGGGCGGACGCGGTTGGTTGCCGGAGCTCTGGCAGTCTCACCTCCGACGTGTCCCAAGAGTTCAAGGGAACTTTTGCAAGCCCCGCGCCCGCCCCTCCCTCGGAACCCCTTCTTCAAATCCAGGCGGCCGGCCACCTCCGGCTGCCCGCGAGATGCTGCCTACACTCTCGGGCCCTTTATTGTCCGACCGCCAGGGAACAACTGCGCGATTTTCCAGCGACATGGCCTAGTAAGTTGGGCTACCCGCGCACTAGTTGCCAGTACCCGTTAGACTGGAATCCCAAGCCTTCTCCAAGGAAGAGCACTGTTGTCACAAACCTGACACAAAGAAACACAGGAGGCCTAAAGGGCGGAGATTGGAGAAATGAAGCTTTGTACCTGCGCACTGAGCAACCTCAGTTACCGGCCTTTTGAGAAAGCGAGTAGCGTCTGCGCAGACTAAGACCGCGCACGCGCACTGGGATTTAAGTGGTGTGGCTTGGAGACGATAATTTTTTCCTGAAAAAATGGAACCTTGGAGCTGCCCCTTTGGGTCGTTGTGGCGAGACTAGGTTTGCTTATCTGTGACAGCCAATATTGAGTTCCGGAGGCGGTGAAAAGCCAAGGAGGAGGAAAGGTACCCCTGAGGCGGTTGGCTTCTGCCATGAAGAGGATTTTTGGCTTCGGAAGTAAGGGCCGTTCGCCTTTGGGCTCCTCCAGCAACCTGCGAAGGAACTGTGTGGGCTTTGGGCTTGCGAATGCCAGTAGTCTGAACTCGCCCAGGTACCACATCCGAGACAAGGATACAGGAAAGATCCACAAGGCTGCAAGCATGGGCAATGTAGCCAAAGTGCAGCATCTCCTTATTCTTGGGGAAAATGGCGTGAATGATAAAGACAAGAAGAACAGGTAATAAGTAGGGGCTTTGTGCCAAGGGGCTACGGGTTTGGTGCGGGAGGAGGGGGGCGTGGAAGAAACGGGCACCTCCCCAGCTGGACCCCCTCAGGCACCTGGGAAGCACAGGCCTCCAAGGGATCTAACACCCAGAACCGCTTCATGAGCAACAGAACTAAAACAGAACTTTAGCTCATTTCCGATCCACTTATGATTCCCATGTAAAGCTCTTTGACTATTGAAAAGTGATTAACTTAACAAAATTAAGTATATGCAACAGTTTATTTTTAAAATACACAATTCTAAAACCATGTATACGGTGTAGAAAGTGCATGAGAGAAATATTTTTTTATCAACTAAAGGGTTTTAAATGCTTAGAAAAAAATAATATCCATGTTTTTATGAAGTGTATAACTATTGGGAAGATAGTTCTCTGTTGAACAAGGAAGACTTATTCCAAAAATGTGAGGTCTTTCTATATTTATTTTAGATAAACCAGGTAAAAATATCAAAGTTAACATTTTTAAAAAATTTTTAGTTGTAGATGAACATAATATCTTTATTTGTTTTTATCTGGTGCTGAGGATTGAACCCAGTGCCTCACACATGAGAGGTAAGCACTCTAACACTGAGCTACAGCCCCAGGCCGAAAAGTTAGCATTTTTTATTTCCCCATGCTTTTACTATTGTGATGACAGAATTTTTTTTTTTTTTTGTAATAAGAACTTGCTCTTCTTGGTATTAAAATACACTATTGATTTTCACAAACTAATTGATACTGGCAACTGAAAAGACAGATAAACTAATGCAACAGAATAGAAAAATCCAGAAACACCCAAATGTATGTAAGAATTTAGAACTTGAAACCAATGACATTCCATATTAATAGGAAAAGATGAGTTATTCATATATGTAGTGCCTGATAACTGGAATAAACTAGCTAGGTTATTATGTCACAAGTTAAGTTTCTCCATAGAGTACAGATTAAAAATTTTTAATAATACAGAATGAGAAAAATATGAAAGAAAATACACAGGCCTACTTCTGCATTATATATTTTTTATATTGGCCAAGACCTTCCTAAAAATAAACTCAAAAGCAAGCATTCTTTTTTCCTTTTGTGGGACTCAGGATTGAATTTAGGGACTAGTGCTTAGGAAGCACACACTATCACTAAGCTATACCCCTAGCCTAAAAGAAACTGTTCCAAGGGTCAGTTAGCAGAAATGAAAAATCTAAACCTCTGTATATCAGAAAAAGAATTAAAATTAAAAACTGTTGCAAAATATTTATACATATATAACATATAATACAGATAAAAAATATATCTTCATTATACAGAAAATTCTTTCAAATTAACAAGGAAAAAAACTGAACTCCATTTATTTTTTTTTATACTGGGGGTTGCACCGAAGGCCTTGTGCTTTCTAGGCAAGTACTGTACCACTAAAGTTTACCTCTAGATCTTGAACTCTTACTTAATTTGGTAAGGGACACTTGTGCAGATCTACAAGTTACCTATGGACACTGGAAAAATTTCTTTGTCCCTGGTAAGAGAAGGAAATTAAGTTAAAAGAGGAATAAAATAGTGTTTACCAATTACAAAATTTGTGAGAATGAAAAGCAGTGGTATACTTCTGCTTAAAGCTTAAATTATGACTTTTCAAACAGACAATTTGATCTACTGTACCCTATTTTAAAATGTATATGTTTCTACCAACAAATTTTATTATACTAGAATATCTTTAGGAAATAATAAATGACACAATTTGTTTTTCTCAGCACTGCTTAAAATAACAGTGCATTAATAAGAACCTAATCTCAGCAGCTTGGAAGGTTGAGGCAGCAGACAGCCTCAGCAATTCAGCGGGACCATATGCAACCTAGTGAGACCCTGTCTCAAAATTAAAAAAGGGCTGGGGATGTGGCTCAGTGGTTAAGCATCCCTGGATTCAATCCCTGATACAAAAAAAAAAAAAAAAGAAGAAGAAGAAGAAGAACCCATAGAATAGATTTTTCTAGTAATTTACAAATTACAATGTATCAATTGGTTAGAATATAATCATTGAATTTTGCATAAATATCATGTCTGTTGACATGGGAAGATATACTTTGTTTTATCAAGTGAGGAAAAAAGTCAGTTTGATTATACAGACACACATATTATTTGACTGTGCTCTTGTTTTAGCCAAAAAGATATACAAAATGATATAAAATTTTCTTTTTCGTTTTCTATTACTTAGAAGTGTATTATTCTACTTCCAATTTGTGGGTTTCTCATCTTTTTATTTGTTTCTAGCTTAGTTTCATTGACACTAGAAATATACTCTGTTAATTCAGTATTTGAATTTGATGAGTCTGGCTTTTTGGCCTAGCAAATGATTAATATTGGTAAAAGTTCTGCATGAACTTCTTTTTTTTTAAATTTTCTTTCTCTGATTTCTACAGTGAACATGTATAGAAGTTCCAATAAAAGTTTATTGTTAATAAAAAATAAGCCTTGTGAAGAGCAGGGATAAGAGTCCAGCACAGAAGAAAAATTCTCATTTTCTATTAGTTTGAGTGTTTGTGTTTGTATGTTCACAAGTAAAGGAAATTTTTTTAATCTATGCTTGTAGATTTTATTATATATGCATTTCTTATACACATTTTTATTATATATGCAATTTAAATGCCAACCATATAAACAGAACTGCCATAGAACTATTGTATTTCACTTTTTATAAGGCACCACAGATTGTGTGATAAGCTCTTATTTTGTGTATTAAAATTTTTTTAAATGCCATTTATAGTTATAACACATTATGAACTATAATTGACATTGTGGTTCAGATGTGTGGCATCTCCCAAAAGTTCATGTGTGAGACAATGCAAGAATGTTCAGAGGTAAAAAGATCAGGTTTTGGTAACCTTAACCCAATCAGTGGATTAATGCACTGTTATGGATTAACTGGGTGGTAACTATAGGCAGGTAGGGTGTGTCTGGAAGAAGTAGTTCACTGGCAAGCCTTTGGGGTTTTATAATTTGTCCCTGGTGACTGGAACTCTCTCTGCTTCCTGTTTGCCTTGAGGAGAGCTACATTCCTCCCTCCATATTTTTCTGCCATGATGTCTGCCTTACTTCAAGCCTACAGCTATAAAGTCAGCTAACCATGGACTAAAACTCTGAAACCCCGAACCAAAATATACTTTTCCTCTTCTACATTGTTCTTGTTGGGTCTTTTGGTCACAGCAATGCAGAGATGACAAAAACAAGTGGCATTCCAGTATCTCAGATGTTGAAATGTAAGAAAAATAGCAGACTCATTGAAATCCATATCTGCAAAGTAGGTATAATTGTATTATTTTACTTAATTGAAATCTTGTTTTGTTAGGTATTAGTAATATTATTAGTAATAATAATTATTACTAATAATGATGAACTACTTTTGCACAATGCAAATACTGAAGCCAAAAACTAATAATTATTAATAATAATTATGATATCTAATAATTGTTGGGATTTTTAAATTTAAAACAATTCTAATACCTTGCATGGATTTTCATTTAAGCACTTTGGTGGTGTCCTGTGAGGTAACTATTATTTTTCATCCCAATCTTAAGGGTAAGAAAAATGAGACATAGAAAAGTTAATAACTAGTAAGGATCCGAGCTTAAAGTAGGATTCAAACTGAAGTTGATGTTCTTTGTATTCAGAGGCTGCTCTAAATTGACTGGGGGTGTAGATAGTTCAGTGGTAGTGCTTGCCTTACTATGCTCAGGGCCCTGGATTCTATCCCCAACACCACAAAAGAGAGAGAGAGGGAGGAAGAGAAAGGAAGGGTGCATGAATCAAATAGGTTGCATGTCTATTAATGTAATGAGTAGTAAGAACTATAAATACTGTACTTCAGAAGAAAATATTTGCTTTGAAGACAAAGGAACTACATGTTATTTAATGTTTGTAGTCGCATGAATAATTATGTACCTTCAGATGGTGCTCTGTAATATCCAAAAAATTCTTTCACTGTCAGGACTGCTCTACACTTTGCCTGTGCCTATGGTCATCCAGAAGTGGTGACTCTTCTGGTAGAGAGGAAATGCAACATTGACATCTGTGACAGTGACGGCAGCACAGCACTAATTAAGGTAGGTAGTAGCCAACCATTTCGGCAGGAGATGAATTTGATTTAAATTCTTAAAATAAAAGTGAATTTATCCCATTTAAATATAACTGGTGAAACCTGTGGAATGTTTATCTTGAATTAACTTGAATTTACAATCTGTTTCTTGGTATGATACTGACAGGCCGTACAGTGCCAGGAAGAGGAATGTGCAACTATTCTGTTAGAACATGGCGCTGATCCAAATGTCATGGACTCCAGTGGCAATACAGCTCTCCACTATGCTGTTTATATTGAGAACGCATCAATAGCAGTAAAACTACTTTTGCACAATGCAAATACTGAAGCCAAAAACGAGGTATAAATCAATCACCTTTATTTCCTAAATATTTGAAATGAAATACCTTTATATTAACAATGATGTTTATAGGGTAAATTTTCCATAAACTCGAGCATTC